GGGTGCCAGTGGGCCCACCGCGTTTGGCAACATGTGTGCCACTGTGCATCGCATGACCGCTTCCATTACGGCTGGTATGGCGCTTGTCGCCATGAAGCTGGACGGTCATTCCACCTTCGAGGCGACGTTCGATTGCGCATACCTGCAGGTAGACGCGTTCACAGCGCTATCTGCGGGCGCCGAGCAATCTCCTGAGGTGGCGACCACAGCGGCAGTACTGGTGGAGGCTGAGGAGCAGGAGGGCTACACGGTGACCAACGCCGTGCATAACTACGTGCTGCGGGGGGAAGAACTCAGCGGCCTGGACTGCAGTGTGTACAACATAGCCTCCAACTACGAGGTCCGACGTGTGCCGCCAGCTCAGCACCCGCACCGAGAGCGATTGGGTCTACAGATCCCGGTGGCAGCTCGACGCCGCAAGCGCACTACCCCAGCCACACCCATAACCGCCCCTGTGCCTGCCCCTGTGCCTCTGCTGACTGCAGCCCCGGCCCCTCCTCCTGAGCCACCTGCTCCTACAGCTGCAGCGACACTCGACCAGCCAACTTCTCAGACAGCCACGGAGCTGCCCCGCCTGGTGGCCTTCCACAGCATGCATCCGCTGTACAAAACACATGTCCACATCCGCCTGCCGCGGCCACGATATGTACAGCTTGGAGGCTCTCTTCCCCGCCGGCCCCGCCCTGGCACCTCTGCTGCGGGCATGGCGCAGTACTACGCGTTTGTCCTGGGTACTTTCAAAGCTCACCGGGGTCAGCCCATCCCCCCCGGGCTGACTGTAAAGGAAGCCTACGACACCTGGTGGGCAGAGCTGGGCACTACCGAGGCAGGTCGCTCGTACCAGGCATACGTATCGGTGCTGCTGGACAACATCGAAGAGGACCACGCTGGGAAAGCCCGCCATCAGGCGGAGTACAACCAACGGCGCCGCCAGCAGCGTGCAGCAGCGGCAGCAGCCGCGCTGCCTGAAGGTGACAGCACGAGCGCTTCGGATGGAGATACCGATGACGGCATCCGCGGGCATCTCAGGCCTGATCCTGAAACACAGCCGCCCGCCGAGGACCAGCTGGAGCACTTCGTGTACATCCCAGGTCAGGAGTATCCGACGGCTGGCACCGACCTCGCCGCCGTCGCTCTTACGGACCTGTTTGACTGCACCAACGCTGCTGGCGTGTATGCCTATGATGCAGCACGGCGCTGCCGGGCCCCGGCCCTAGCGGATGGCCATGGTGCAGGCAGCGATCGTTTCAGCCGTCGGATCACACCAGCGGACCTGCCCCTCCTGACTGAAGCAACCAAGCGTCTGAAGCGGTATCTCGTTGCCGCAGCAGCCGGCACTGTTGAGGCAGATGGGGGCGCCCACACGGGACTGACGGCCACACCTGAGATGGACACCCCTCGTGTCGAGCTGCACCGCCCCACCAGCGGACCCCTGGTCGCCATCGTGCGCATGCCTGGCACTCCTGAGCGGACTGAACAGGCTCGCATGCCCATCTATGTGCACCTCCCCCAGCCGCCCAGCATCGACGACACCATCGAGCTGTTCACGCTTGCCCCCCACCAGGCCGTGCCCTTTATGCTCATGGCTCGGTACTTCGATCATCGCGATGAGCCCAACCCTGGCGACCCGCCGCAGATGCTTG